TTTGTTTCTCGCTGAAACCCTCATCAAGAGACGTTTCCTATAAATGGTGGTGAACGCTTCCACGAATTCCTCCTCGCAATTGCTGATTTATATCAACCTCAATATTAAGGTAAATTGTTTAACACATATATTAACACAATAATGCATAGAACCTAATAGAACCTGACCTAACTTACCCAATTTATGGGTATGTTAGGTCAGGTTCTATGATTGTCGTTTCCATTTTTGTGTTTAATATCATGATATTAGTGTGTAGAAAAAATTTCAACCAATTCGAACAATTCCTTCTGGTGGTAGCCGTTATCTACACCTTTACCCAAAATATTTTAAGTCGCTTTTTAACTGACTTGTACACATTGACAACACAATTTACATATGATGAATGATGGCATTACACGTATGTTAGGTTAGGCACAGGGATAAGATTGTTATGGCGAATCAGCCCTTTCCTTATTTCTTGTTATTGTTACTATATATAAAAAAGTGCATCATAACATTCTTGTTTACCTTTATACCGCCACCGCGGTTGCTGGAGGATCGGCTTTTTTCACACTTCATTTTTCCAACATTCGCGGACTGAGATCCAATATTTCTTCTGTGGAGCACCATCTATCAATCTCTTCCCCCGACCTCTTACTACTCTCCGAACTTCAACTGACCAAAGCAGCTTCACCCAAACTTTTTCAAGTCTCTAACTACAACCTTTATACCTACATCCGTTCTAAGGGAGGTGTATGCGCCTACTGCAATACACGTACACCTATAGCCCGACTCACGGATCTTGAATCTCCCCTTTATGATGTCATCTGGCTCAAAATATCTCTACCTACTGTGACTATTTTTCTTTGTTTCCTATACTGTTCTCCCAACTCTACCAACTATTTCGAACTCTTTGACTATCTCACTTCTTGCCATGAGTCGTTGCTATCCACACACCCCAACACCGAGATCCTCTACGTTGGGGATTTCAATGTACATCACAGAGAGTGGCTTGGCTCTGCAAGGGATGACCCAGGTGGAGCTGAGGCACTCTCTTTTTCCTTACTTAATGATTTGGAACAAATAATCAAACACCCTACACGCATTCCTGATCGACACGATCAACTTGCTAACATTCTTGATCTTTGTTTTACCTCTAACCCCTCACACTATTCAAGCTCCAATTTTTGCCCCCTTAGGGTCTTCTGATCACATCCTTATTTCTATTAAATCAAACTGGGCACGACCACCTCCCCCACCCCTCTCTAAACGTCAACTATGGCACTATCGGAGGGCAAGCTGGCAATCCTTGCGAGAATTCTTCACCGACTTCCCTTGGGATGAATGTTGCTTTTCCACTCGGGACGCCTCGGTATGTGCTGACAGCATTGCTGGGGTTATACAGAGCGGTATGAGTGCATTTATCCCATCTTCTACCAAAACTTTCACATTACAATCATGGTTTGATCGCTCCTGCTCTCTTGCTTGCAGGGTGAGAGATAGGGCATATCGAGCTATGAAACTATCTCCTCCGCCTATTACCCACACCTCTTTCATTACTTCTAGGAATCGTTGTAAGGCTATTCTTCGTAGGGCCAAGCGGAATTTTATTAAAAGAAAGACCGCTATCCTGACTAGTTCTTCCTCTAGTAAATCCTTCTGGTCCTTAACTAAAAACATCTGTAACAACTTCTGCACGCCTTCTTTTCCTCCTCTCTTCCGTTCCAATAACTCTATAGCCAACTCTCCCCCTGACAAAGCCAACCTCTTTGGCAGCTTATTCTCCTCTAATTCCACCTTAGACGATTACCACTCTATCCCTCCTACCCCTGCACCTCCTACTGAACCTATGCACTTTCCTATAATCTCCACTCGCAGGGTTGCCGGTGTGTTATCCAGGTTGGATGTGAGTAAGGCGCATGAACCGGACGGAATACCCCCTCGTGTTCTGAGGGAGTGTGCTGAAGCCCTGGCCCCTGTGCTTGCTCGCCTCTTTCGCCTTTGCCTCAAAACCAAAACTTTTCCTTCTTCTTGGAAGCATGCCTTGGTTCAGCCCATCCCGAAGAAGGGTGACCATTCTAATCCCTCTAACTATCGCCCCATTGCCCTAACTTCATCCCTCTCTAAGATTTTCGAAACTATCTTGAACTCCCATTTTCTCCGTCACCTTGAACGCCTTTCTCTTTTGTCGGATCACCAGTATGGCTTTCGCCTGGCGAGATCTACTGGTGATATGCTCTCCTATTGCACCCATCTTTGGTCATCCTCTCTTAGGGATTATGGGGAAACTCTTGTCGTGGCCCTCGACATCTCCAAAGCATTTGACAGTGTATGGCACAAGTCTTTGCTATCTAAACTTCCCTCTTTTGGTTTCTCTCCCCCACTTTGTTCTCTCATCTCTAGCTTCCTTGAGAACCGATCCGTGGCAGTTGTTGTCGAGGGATCGATTTATCGCTCTTTCTCTACCAATAGTGGCGTCCCACAGGGTTCTGTTCTTTCACCAACTCTCTTCCTTTTTTTTATCAATGATTTACTTCACACTACAGCTAATTATATCCATTCTTACGCCGATGATTCTACTCTTCACTCTTCCTCACATTTTCCCCTTCCTCCTAACTCTCAAACTAGATCTGTTTCTAAAACTGATATCATTACTTCTATCAACGCGGATCTGTGCAGTATCTTTGAATGGGGAGATACAAACTTGGTTAAGTTCAATAGTAATAAAACTCAATATTTACCAATTACACTTTGTAAATTAGACGATCTCCCACCAATTACATTTCAGGACGCTATCATCCTCCCAAATTCTGAAATAGATATGTTAGGCCTCACCATTTCCTCCAATATGTCCTGGAAATCACACATCCTTAGTATAACTAAAGCTGCCTCCCGAAAGTTGGGAATGCTGTACAGATGCCACAGCTACTTCACTCCTGAGCAGTTGCTCCAAGTATATAAGGGATTCATTCGTCCTAACTTGGAGTACTGCTCTCATATCTGGGGTGGCTCTTCTGTCCAACTATTAGATAGGGTGGAAGCAAAGGCATTTCGTTCTTATTAACTCTCCTCCTTTAGTCGACAATCTCTCTTCCCTTTCTCTTCGCCGCAATGTTGCTTCACTCTCTCTCTCTTTTACAGGTACTTTAACGGGCAATGTTCAGTGGATTTGGCATTCTGTGTACCGCCGGCAAGGCCGTGGGTTCGTAACACACGTCTTGCCCGCGGTGCCCACCGTTTCTCCGTCAATGTCAGTCACACGAGAATAACCCGTTATAGTACCTCCTTCTTTCCTCACACAGCCAAACTGTAGAATGCTCTGCCTTCTTCTGTGTTTCCATGCTCTTAAAATTTGTCTCACTTTAAAAAGCTGGTTTTCCGGCATCTTCGTGGTGTAGATTAATACAGTATAACCTTTTTTTCTATATCTACTATTTCTTTCCGTTCTTTTTTTTTCGCCCCCCAGGCTCCGTTGTGGGTCGTTTGACCTGTGCCCGGGTGGGCTAATTCCCGTAAAAAAAAAAAAAATCGACAACAGTGATCTTGTAACAAATGAGTTCACCCACGAAAAAAATACTCGAGACCGTAATTTCAGTCATTTTGGAATGAATGAAGTTTTCCAAATGATAACGAGGTTTGGTTTTCTTCATGAATGAATAAATGAAGTATAAATAAACTTTTAAATATAAATATATAAATACCAGATTATAAATACATCAAGGTTAGTATAGTTAACCCGCTATACGGTACTTTTGTTTTCTATGAATACTGCCTTAGTTATGTCGGTCAACGCTAGATGGTGTAACAAACGGCGGCACTGAAAAATCCACACAAATTAAAGGGACTTGGGCTTCCGTCCAAATACCTTCCTTGACTCCGTATTTATACTATACTCGCTCAGTAAGGCGTGCTTCTATTGGTTATAATGATACAATTCAACCAATCATCTTTCTGTATTTCGTTTGTTTACATCCAGATAGCCTATCACAATCAGTTTATCATACGAACCCTATGGATCCTGTAATACAAAATTCTATTGGCTATAAAGATCCACTTTAACCAATCAAGATCCTCAATTTAGTTTGTTTCAAACAACTTAACCAATCACAATAAAGATTTCAAAATTTTCACGTAATGGGGTTAGTATTAGGTTGAATAGCATTTCGTACAGTGAACTTCGGAGTCATATGGCCTACAGCCGCCATATTGATTGTACTGTATTCGCTTTCTCTTATACAACAACAAAACAATTCTTAACAAATAAATACGTAATTTTACGCTATTGAAATCATTCAATAAGAATTATACTACATTCTAAATTTATATTATTTAAAAAACTGATTACCTCTTAATATTTCCGCAAATTATTGCGTACCAGCTTTAACAATTTTTAGCGCTATTTCTCATTGAATTAATAGAATTAACATATTATTATGACTTTCTTTATCGAATACTTAACTTAAGAGAAAATTTAAACCAAATCAATTTGCAATTAATATAATTACATCATCGTTACGATAAATGTTCACAATTAATTCTGTATAACGTTAATTAATAACTTGCATTTAATCTGTAATTAACCATAGGGTCAAATAAAATGTAAAAACTCACCACAAAACATAAAATCTAATCTAATCTTTAGTTCTGGGAGGATAGAATTTATTACATTATATCCGGTTACGTCAGGATATTCGATAATAAAATAATATATCTGATATTAAAATCCCTGTAAAAAATACTAATGTTTTTTTTAAATATATTTATATTAAATTATTCTTTAATTTAAAATGATAAACAAAAAAAATCCGGTTAAAACGCGAAATAATCCGAACAGATTAACATTTCTTAATAAATTCGTATAAAACATTCCACACTAAGAAATATAGATAACTGTTAAGATTAATTATAATTAATTCATATATTTAATCAATAAAAATATAGACAGAAAATCCGGTTAAAAATAGCTAAAAATCGGATAAAATCTATCTTGTGGGGTTCCTCCGCTTAACACACAACAGTCGACTGTATAAACCTGTAGAGTGAAGACCGGCCGCGCTAGTTACCGGATAACCTGATAATTACCTCATTTACCTCTGTTAATCGGAAAATTAACTGGTTTGTGCTGTATATTAGAGAGTGGAAAATTGATTTACCGAACATAAAAGCAGACATACTTCTCTCTAGTGTCTGGACAACCGGATATGTACTCATTTAACCGGATGTTTTCTCGTTTAACCTGATGTAATTGATTTTTGCTTTGTATTTCGTCCAGTGAACGATTCATTAACCAGGCATACAGAAAGAAGACATGCCTCCATCTGGTGTCCGGATAACAGCATATTTACCTCCTATATCTGTTCATCAATACTCGTTTAACGGGAAATATACCCTCGTGATCGGATATTTCCCTCTGTAACTATACATTTACTCTCGTAACTGGACATTTACCCTCTTAACTGGACATAAACCTTTTTAACTGGGCATATGACATCTTAACTGGACATACACCCTCTTAACTGGACATTAACCCCCTTAACTGTACATTTATATTAACTGGACATTAACCCTCGTAACTGTATATTTACCCATTTAACTGGACATTTACCCTCTTAAAAGGGTAATTGTCCAGTTAAAGAGGATTATATTTTGTCCAGTAAAGAGGGTAAATGTCCAGTTAACTATGTATTTACCCTCAACTGGATATATATCCTTTTAACTGAGCATTCACCACTCTTAACTGGATATATGATATTTCCCACCTCTAACCGGTCTATTTTTATTGGCCTTTTCAGTACTAAAAATGTCAGCATTTGAACATTTTTTGACTAATTCTGATGACGATATTGAAAATTTTGAAGAAAATGATGTTAAAGATCTAAAAAATGTTATTTTTTTTAAAGAAAACTGTGTTGCAAAGGTTGCCGATGTTGAAAATGTAAATAATGTTGAAAATGATGATGTTGAAAGTGATGTTTTGACCCCAGTAATTACAGGCGAGTATAAAGTACCTTTTTTGTTTGTTTTTGTATATTTGTAATATGTCTATTCTCTCTCTCCCCCATTCACACACTTGTTGCCACACAAATATTTTTTTTTAATTTTATGGTTGCAATTAATAGTTTAGACCAGTGATTCCCAAACTGTGTGCCGTGCGCCGTTATCTCCTAAGTGTGCCGCGAAAATCTGCTAAAAAAGTAGGTCGTGTGATCGAACTACCTGGGTTAATACAAAGTAATGTTAGTTACAAGACAAACGAGGTTTCCTTAAACTATATCTTGCGCTTGTGATACCTCACTTGGATTACGCGGTTCAGTTTTGGTCACCGTACTACAGAATGGATATAGAATTCCTAGAAAGAATTCAGAGGAGAATGACAAGACTAATCCCGGGCATTAGGAGCCTTGAGTACAGAGACAGGTTAAAGTATCTTAATTTGAATTCCCCCGAGAGACATAGTGGAGAAACATAGTGTGAGGGGCGATAGGTAGTAGGTAGTAGGCAGCTACCAAACAGGGAGGTACTACCGCCTGGGAAGATTTTGGAAGCATAATGTGTTGTCTAATGGTAGATCCTGCTGTCATATGGCATTGCAAAAATTGTGACCAAGTCCCAGGTTGCTGATCTGACTTTCTGCCTCATTTACACACAATTGCGGGGTCTCAATTGTTTCTCTTGCTATTGACAACACAACATACATATATCGTTTCTCACTAATGATCTTTTTTTTTAAATTTCATTATGGTTTCATATAATTATTATTATTATTGTTACAGTGTTTTCAGTATTATTGTTATCATTATTTTATTTTTATTTTTGTATTTTTTATAAATTTTACTTATCTGAATTATTATTATTATTATTATTATTATTATTATTATTATTATTATTATTATTATTTACTATTATTATTATTATTATTATATTATTATTATTATTTATTATTATTATTATTATTATTATTATTATTATTATTATTATTATGTCCCCGGCCCTGATGTGGGTCGGTGACCTGTGTCCGGGTGGGCTAATACCCGTAAAAAAAATTATCGAGGTGTATAAATGAAAGTCAGCCAGGGCAAAACAAAGGTTATATAACAAAGGTACTCGGACTATCCAACCAGGAGGGAACTCGTAACAATTTAGATTTAAGTGCGAGATAGGTAAGCATTGGTTTGGAAATAGAATAGTAGATGAGTGGAACAATTTACCAAACATCATCAGTACTTTTACTTTTTACCGACTTCCATCCTCTTCATCACTGATCGGCTCGTTAACCGCTTGGGTGATCGGTCACTTTTACTTTTTTGTTTTACTTTTATCCTCTTCACCACTGATCGGCTCGTTAGCCGCTTGGGCGATCGGTCACGTCTCTGTTAATTTTCCTTTTCTTTTATCCTCTTCACTAAATGATCGGCTCGTTAGCCGTTTGGGCGATCGGTCACGTCTCTTACGCACTGTTGGCAGGTACTGGACATGCACCGGCTCCTGAATTTACCTGAACCTGTTCCGGTGTTGGTCAAGTCTTGTCTTGAAAGAGCTCATACTCGGTGCCATCACAACACTTTCTGGTAAATTGTTCCAAGAGTTCACAACTGTCACTCCGAAAAAGTTTGTCCTCTGTAGCCAGAGATGGGGTCAATTCATTTTTGTCAATTCAGTTCAATTCCAATTCAGAATAAGCTTTGGATTAATCAATTCCAATTCAATTCAATTCATTCATCTGCTGACGTTTTTTAGGAAAGTCTTCGAGGTAGTAGATAATGACGAAAATTACGATGTTATTTACTTAGACTTTAGCAAAGCATTTGACAGAGTACCGCATCAGAGACTTCTGAGAAAAAATAAGGCTCATGGTATCGAGGGGAAAGTTTTAAATTGGATAAAATCATGGCTCACCAATAGCACGCAGAGGGTCAGCGTAGATGGCGTTAAATCTGAGTGGGGCCGTGTAACCAGTGGGGTTCCCCAGGGGTCAGTACTAGGCCCACTCTTGTTCATAATCTACATAAACGATCTAGATACTGGGATCAGCAGTGACATGAGTAAGTTTGCGGATGACACCAAAATAGGGCGGCAGATTAATTCAGGGCAGGATGCAAATGCATTACAGGCATTACAGGAGGATCTAAATAAACTGCAGGGGTGGTCTGAAAAATGGCAAATGAAATTCAACACCAGCAAGTGCAGCGTACTTAATATTGGAAGAACAAATACTGTCAATGTATACAGCCTTAACAACATCAACCTAGAGAAGTCGACTTGTGAAAGAGACCTAGGGGTACTTGTAAGCCCGGACCTACGGCCTAGAAAACAGTGCGTTAATGTTCGAAATAAGGCAAACGGAGTATTGGGTTTTATATCTAGAAGTGTAAGTAATAAGAGTGCAGAGGTCTTATTGCAACTATATCTTGCGCTAGTCAGGCCGCACCTCGATTATGCTGTTCAGTTCTGGTGCCCTTATTATAGAATGGATATCAATTCACTAGAGTCGGTGCAGCGAAGAATGACGAAAATGATTCCGGGACTTAGAAACCTTCCATATCAGGATAGGTTAAAGAAACTAAACTTGCATTCCCTAGAAAGACGAAGAGTGCCGGGAGATATGACAGAAGTATTTAAGTGGGTGAAAGGAATCAATAAAGGGGATATAGATAAAGTTCTTATAATATCCGAGCAGGATAGGACTCGGAGCAACGGATTTAAGTTGGATAAGTTTAGGGTTAGGAGGGAGATAGGAAGGAACTGGTTCACAAATAGGGTGGTGGACGAGTGGGACAAGCGTAGCAACTTTGTAGTAAGTGCTGGAACGCTGGAAAGTTTCAAAGGGAGGCTGGATAGATTCATGGATGATAGAGAGTGGTAGTTACTCTCGACAGGAGCTGCCATGCACAGGCCAACCGGCCTATTGCAGACTCCTTATTTTCTTATGTTCAATTCAATTCATTATGGTTGATATTTCATTCAATTTAATTCAAATACTTTTTAATTGAAAATCAATTCCAATCTACCATTAATCTAATGGAAAGAAAAACAATTCGAGGTTTCAAATTAACTTCTTTATTTTTTTTATTAAACACGCTCTGCCACACAAACCAATCACATCCTTTACCAACCAAAAGTTCAAATGGTTTAATTCTTTGTATTAGAAAACAAAATATGAATGAGTCCAAGTTACTGAGGATTGCATCTGATCATCATAAGTTGCTCAAATCTTTTATTGTTTAATTTGCACCTCTCTGGCCTGAAGAGCTTGCCAGCAATGGAGAACAGTCGTTCCACAGGAGCCAATGTAGCAGGAATTGCCAGGTACTTTGCTGCAAGCCTGGTGAGGACGGGAAACTCAGGTTGCTTGGCCTTCCAGTAGCCAAGGAGATCACCTTCTTCCTGTAGACATGGCTGGTTGAGGTAGAGTGAGACCTCAGTTTCTGATGGAGTTGGTCATGGTGTAGAAGACCGGTTGGCCAGGGCAAAGAACTTGTTCCTCTTCATCGGTGGTGGGTCAGCAGGGGAAGAGTCTGTTGTTGTAGGATCAACACTGCGTGCCATATTGTATTTCACAGTCAAAAGGTCACGAATATCTTGCACTTCATTGTCATAGTCATGACACCAGTCCAGCTTGTAACGTGGGTCTAAGGTGGCAGCTAGCAGGAAAGCCTCCATAGACTCAAACTTATTCAGACGAGTCTCTGTTGAGGACTGAAGTAGAGAAACAAGCTTGCTTTTATACACTTCATGAAGACTAGCTAAAGCAGCCCGAAGACCACGAACACAGTTAACTAACAGACTAGATGTCACCATGTTTTGTCCCTGAATCTGATTAGTCACATACTCAAATGGCTCGAGTATATCACAGAGCTCCTTGTTGGTGTTCAGCTCATACTGCTTTAGCTTGTAGGGAGTGTCAAGTTTGTCTCACACTTCAGGTGGAACTCGAAGTACTGACCTCATCATCGTCAACTGGCTATTCCAGCGTGTACATGTGGTAAGCTTATACTACCAATCACAGACCAAAAGGGCAGGGCAGGCCAGGATGTGTACTGAACACATGTGTTTTACCCACACCATCTCAGTCAGGCCCACTGACAGAAACTGTACTTGTGAATCTTAAATATATCTGAAATATATTTATTAGAAACACATGAAATATGCAGGAAATAGTTTCTCAGTTCAATGAAAATTAATACGTCACTTGATATATTTTTAAAATTTTTTGTGCTAGCTAACTGTATATTTTAGTTTTTCTTTGAATATAAGTTAATTATTGCAAAATAATGAAGACGCATATTACAGTTTAATATATTATTTTATCAATTCACATCAATTCATTACATCAATTCACATCAATTCATTACTTCAATTCATATCAATTCGCACCAATTCATATCAATTCATTAAAATATCAATTCCAATTCAATTAAATTAATTTTAATTTTGTATTTTTTCAATTCCAATTAAATTCCAATTCACGGATTTTTTTGTAATCAATTCCAATTCAATTCCAATAAATTCATAATTGACCCCATGTCTGGGCCCCTCACAGTTTTCTGGACTTGCGGCTTCTTCAATCTTGAGCTGTGACCCATTGTGGGGGGAGCGTCCGCCAGCTCCAAGTAAGGACACTCGACTGAGTAGTGCCCCTTGAGATGCTTATACACCTCAAATTGTCACTCCTTGCCCGTCTGAAGTATAAGCTAGGCAAATTCAGGCGCTCCAATCTCTCAGGGTAGCTGAGGTGCTGAAGTGCAGGCACCAGTCTGGTGGCCCTCCTTTGAACATTTTCAACCAACTGACAGTCCCTAGCATATCTCGGGGACCAGATGGGGTGACAGTAATTCAAATGGGGAAGCACTTCACTCCTGAAGATCGTTACGAGGGACGGACCGTCTAGATATCTGAACGACCTTCTTATAAGACCCAATAATTTATTTGCCTGATTTACCTTCTTCTCACAATGGCCCGAGAACTTCAGCTCATTGTCAACATACACACCTAG